TGTGTGTGAATATGTGTGTGTGTAGGGATGTACATATGTGTATGAGTGTATATGTGAATGTGTGTGTGTGTGTGTGTGTGTGTGTGAGAGAGAGAGAGAGAGAGAGAGAGAGAGAGAGAGAGGATTGTGCGCGTAGGGATCAGACATATGACCTTGATATCACTATATTTACTATATCACTGACTAATTGCCTCAGCCAAAGCCATTAAGGGTTTTTTTGTTTGTTTGTTTAATTTGAGGGTTGTGTTTGAGACAGGGTCTTACTCTCTAGCTCAAACTGGCCTGGAACTCACTATGTAGCAATCCTCCTGCCTCAGCCTCCCAATTGCTGAAGTTACAGGTGTGAACCACTATTCTAGGATGCCATGAAGTTTTGAAGGGATTTGTTATGTTTCTCAAAAACAAACAAAACAACAACGGAACAGTGAACTATCAACCATTCTTGGAGAGATGCTCATCCCACTCTCGATCTTTCTGGAAGACTTGCGTTTGATCAACTAGCAAAGGTTGTAACTAAAAGATGAAAACTTAATTGATGATTATAAAAGCAGCAGCCGTGGGTGGTGGAGATTTTCAGAGACTCTTTCCTGAAACAGCTTTACAAAGGTGATTGGGGTTTCCCCATTACCTGTTCTCATAGCATCAGGTGCCTTTCCTTTGCAGTAAGTACTTCATAATTTCATATATATGGAATATATATGTATACAAAATTTCATACACACATGTACTTTTTTTTCCACTGAGACAGAATCTCATAGAGTTAGCATGGCCTCCATTGCCTATGGAGCTGAGGATGAGCCTGACCTTCAGATTCTCTTGCCTTCAGCTCCTAGTCTAAGATTATAGTCAGGTGCCATCCTGCTCGGCTTTGATAGTGCAAGCTAGGCAAGCACTCGACCAACTGATCTACAGCCCTCTATATTCGAGTGATAGTTGGACAGTGTCTAGGCTAACCATGAAGCTATATACGTCACAAAGGAAAGGACTGTGTCTAATTTGCCATTGACAAATTAGACATTGAGTTGCTGAATGAATGTGTCATATAATAGAATTAAATCTTAAAGAAAAACTTAACAGTGTTTCTCTCATGGCTTAGTCTTTTGTATATACTAACAAGCCACAGGATGCCACTTGATTCTTCAGCTATGACGTGTAGTTTTGTTTAGGCTTGGGATGAGGAATCTGCAATTGATGGATACCCGGACATTAATTGATGTATTTCCTTTCCTCTCTTCTAAACCATTGACAAAAGTCAAGCAAACATTCCTCAGATGCTCCATGAAGCCCAATATCCAAGGAAGGAGTTTTGGAGCAGGGGCAGGTAGTGTGAGCAGGAAGATTCAGGCCTGAAGGATGCTTATATCATTCTATGTTATAAAGTTACAATCACACGGGAATGGGAAACCAGGATCTCAACTGAGAAACCTTGGGAGTCAGTTGGAACCCCCCACCTTATCTAATCTTCATCTGAGGCAGTGTGAGGAAGAAAACTGAAAGGGTATGAGTCAGACAGAGGTGGATTCAGATGGGGTCAGGGCCCGTCCTGGGCACGTGTATTTTGCTAGGTTCATTTCCTTCCTGGCCAAGTGGGGATAATGATATCTTAAAATAAGATCTCCTAGTATTACCATTAAATATAGGTACCTGACAGGCAGAGATCATTGTTTTTTATCTGTAACATTTATCCAGCGTTTAATATTACTGGGCCCTTAGACGGTACCGGCAATAGGAGAGTTTCTTCTTTGAGATGACCCAAGACCTAGTCCTGGCTGCGTTACTCAGGGACTCTGAAGGTTCTTATGAGATTTTTCCCTCACTCCTTGAACCTTAATCTTCCTTCTGTGAAATAGGAAGTTGGACAAGGTCTTCTCTAAGCTATTTTCTGAGTCTAATATTTGATGGGACTGTGTCCGCCAGGTGTTCTACATCCCATTGATGCTATACAAATGAACAAGGCTACAGACTAACGAAGCAAACAGAAGTCATGAATCCCATTGTATTTGCAGACATACATGCGTTTAAAACAGATTCGATGTACTTCCGGCCTACTTTTGCCTCTTTAAAGGTCAATGTTTGTTTGTTTGTTTTTTTTTTCTTTTTAAACCTTCTTTTATTTGGTTTGTTTAGGAAGATGAAATCTGGGACAAGTTGTCACTAACATGTTTTATGCACCTCCTGCCTCGGTGGCTAATTGCGCTATTACTGTGATTGATGAGTGCTGCGCTGCAATCAGCAGGAAGTGGCTGCCTTCCATGAAACAGAAATGAGGTCACGGAGCAGGGCTAGGGAACTGCCATCTCGAAAGCAGGCCTGCTTGTCTGTTGCCTGTAGAAGAACTCGTACAATGATGCTTGACTCTTGACTCTGTCCGTTATAAAGAGGCTTGCTTCCTTGAGCTGGTTCCTCAGTAATTTTCGAAGTTGAAAATTTTCCCTGGGCGTGCAATATTATTGAATATAGGTGCTAAAAGACCTAGGCATTATGAAGACTTTGGTATTAAATTTTAGTGCTAAAGCCTATGGGTGCTATTGCCCAGAGAAAACTGTTAGCTTCCACGACACTCTATGCAGCCTTGTAACGTATAAAGCATACTGGGACCACAGTCCTGAGAAGGGAGTGTGTGTGTGTGTGTGTGTGTGTGTGTGTCCCAATCCCCGTAATCACACATGCCCCTCAGTCACATGGCTGGAGCATGGAGACTGCTCAGATTACCTCCTGGAAGTCAGACAGGTATTGGCCAACTGAGGCAGGTACAAAGTCAGCGCTTGGCCTTGGGGAACAATGGACATTTCTTTCTTAAGCCCACGGGGACCTGGTTGCCTCAGAAACTTCTCCCCTGCACAGTACACATCCTTCACCTCAGAGCAGTGTGAGTAGCTGAGCAATTTGTTCATCCATCACAGACATACATCCTTCTCAAGTGGGCTTGGCCCTGACAACCGTGGCCGGATCCCAAGCACCAGGACCACGTTTACGGAAAAGAGCTGTGGTACAGAATGTTGGTGACGGCGCAGACCTTGGCACACTCTTCCTGGGTGTGAGTCCCTAATCTACCATTTGCTAATTATGTTAGTTTAGGCCGGAGCCTCGTTTCCTCGTCTTTGAGTGAGGTTGACTAAAGTTCTTCCCTCACAAAAACGTTAGGAAGATAAAGCAACTAACACAAGGAAATGTCTAGGAACAATGTGTCGTGCAATGTAAGCGTTATGTCCAACAAAAACCCCGATTAAATGGCAGCATCCAGATGACTTTAATACGTTCTAAACCTAAACACTGTCTCCTACAGTCTATCGAAGAATGCAGCAGGTCCACGGAGCTGACTCTGTTTGGCCCTTTCATCTGATCACTGGACTTGGTGGACCTTTCCAGGACAAGGAGCACATTTGAAATACAGAAAACTGACAGGCATCCCCCTCACACACACACTATTTACTGGGGTAACACATTAGCATAGGAGGCTGTGGAATCGAGCTGTGGCTGGGAAGAAAGACTTTCAGGAATTATCAATGGCTCCGTCTCATTATTTCAACTAAAATACAGATGTGTTCCAGCATCCATAGCAAGGTAGAAACAAGAGCTAGTCAGGTTAATTTTACCTTTTTTTCTTTCAGGTGTTTGGTGACAGCTTTAATCAAAGGGGGCTCTCTGATAGATGTCACTCCCAAGAAAGAGGACCGAGGTATGAGACTGGGGAATACAATTTTCCTCATTTTTTTCCCCCGGGACTCTGTCCCCTCAGATTTCCAGCTGGACTGCTCAGGAGTATCGCCCTAGAGGACCTGGGCAGGATGGGAGGAAGAATGCAAGGAGACTCAGAGAGTGGCGCTGGAGAGACTGCGGACAGCAGAGCAATGGGAGGGAAGGCAGAGGAGTCCACGAGGCCGTTTTCAGTCTGAAGCAAAGACAGGTCCTGGCTTTGCAGACGGCAAGCCCTGGTGCCTGCCCAAAAGACATGCTTTCTTTTTTTTTTTTTTTCAGGGATCTTCAGCCCAGCCTGTCCTGGAACAACTGATCCCTCTGCCTCAACTTCTCATATGCTAGGATTACAGGCCTGAGCCTCCGCTCATACCTGATAGATGGTGGACTTTAAAAGGGATCTGTGGGAAAGAGTGGAGTTCTGAGTGGATGGGTATTGTTGACGCTAACACAGCCATGTCAAAGACTCCAGTACCTTGGACGGAGTGCTCAGAACGTGCCAACCACAGCTTCTTATTCCTGGTGACACAGCCTGAGACCGCTCCCCTCTGAAGAGGCCCCTACCAAGGTTGCCTAACCTGCCTCCTCTTTTGGCTGAGTCCAATAAACCTGCCTTTGCTCAGCTGGGCATAACAACGCTGAGTCTTCAGGCTACTGCTGGTGGTCTTCATCAGAACCCGCAGCCACTGTATCCTAGCATTTTGTACTTGTGTCTGTGAGTTCTGGGGAAGTCTGCAGCTGACTAGTTAAACCAGGCAAATTTAGGGATGAGCTCATCAGCTTCAAACCTTTCAGATTCTGGGAGCCCAAGAATCAGTAACAAATTTTATGGCATTCTCATGATGAAGAAGCAGCTGGAGAAACTGGGTGTGACATCACACATCTGTATTCCCAGGACTAGGGAGGCTGAGGCAGGAGGACTAGGTTCAAGGGCAGCCTAAATTAAATAGCAAGTTTGAGGCTGACCTGAGGCTACATCATGATTCAAAGAGCCAGCTAGAAAGGGGAGACCTGACCCTGTATGGGCTGTTCTTTTCCTCCTTCTTATCCTCACAGTTTTAGATGGCAGGGGCCTTTGACATTTTGCAGAAGATAATCCTTTTCTTTTAAGCGTGTTTCTGACTCAGCCTTTGCTCCTTCCACATCACTAGCGTCTGAGCTCTCCAGAGATTAGCACTGTCCTGTCACCACAGCAACTGCCCAGGCCCTGTGGGCATCCGGGCTCAGGGCTTTGCAAACCAAAGCCTGGCTCGCAGTGAGATGAGGCCCCCACGGGGAGCCTGATAGAAACAAGCAGGTTGTACTTCGAGATATTTTCTTTAATAGGATTAGCTGTGCAGGTGGGTCCCATCACACACCCCGGCCAGCCCCTGACATGTGGGGGGAGGGGCGGGGAGGGATAGCTTGGTAAGTGAAGGAAATTTTATTTTAAGGGCAGAAAAGATTCTTTCCAAATCTCTAGAGGGAACCTCCTTCATAAAAGGGAGTTTTCTTTTGTAAAAGAAATCTTCACCCAAGCGGTAACCCCGGCACCGTTAGAGTCTGTAATTGGGGCCATCTTCGGAGAGCCACAGGTGCTGGGAGAGAGCTCAGCTTGCGGGGGCTGGGGAGTGGACGGTGAGCTACAGAGGAAAGCAGATCACACGTGGGCACGACACGGGGCGGCGGGAGGGTGGGTCTGGCCTAGCAGGAGCAGCTTTGCTGTAGCAGTGGCGGGGTGTCTGAGAGACGGGTGGTCTTGGAAGCGCCCAGCACGGAGGGGTCTGTGTCCAGCGAGTCCGACATCTTATCACAAATGGCATCCACCAGACGCTCGAAGGCCTGCCTCACGCTGATGTTCTCCTTGGCACTGGCTTCAAAGAAGTCAAACCCTAGGGAGAAAAGAGATAGAAGTGCAGATTTTTCCCAGCCCTTCTGCTGGCACTGTTTTGTGCCCCCATCGTAAGACTCTGGATCAATAAAGCCAGAGCTCAGATGAAGCAGGGAGGCCTCATTTCGTGCACAGAGCATTCTGCCTCAAAGAGACAGTGCAGGGCAAGGGTTGCCTGCACACATTTTAAAACCAGAGAGATCTTGGCTCTACCAGTGACTAATCCTGGACAAATCATTCATTCTGCTTACACATTAACGTCTTAGTTTTTAAATAGGAATAATTTTATCTACCTGGTAGAATTACTTGGATGGGAACTGAACTAAGATGCTTGGGAAGTGTGCAGCCCTGTGCTGGAGGGAGTGGGGCTGGGGTGTGGCCCTGTGCCTGAGGAAGGGGGGGGGCGGGGCACGACATCAGGTGTTGGCTGAAGGGGTGAATGCGCATGCACTGTGCACGGGGAATCAGAGCACTTCACACATTCTAGAGCATTTAGCAGGTCCATTATCTCACTTTCTGTGGTGCCTGGGAGGAAGGAGTGCCAGTCACCTGATCTTCAGATTACCAGACAGACAGATGGACGACACTGGGGTTTGGGGAAGGAAGCTGGTGTGCCCAGTAAAAGCTCCAGCGTGGAAGCCCAAGTTTTAGGTTTTCTGTTGTTTTGATCCTGCTGGGGACAGAACCTGGTTCTTGGACATACCGCCAGGTGTTCTAACACCAACTCCACTACACACACACCCAGCCTCTTCGGGACCTGTTCTTCACCCCCCTCTTACCGCACCCTGACAAGTTCTGGCCTAGGCTCTGGAGGACAGGTACCTCGAGAGTCACAGGGAATAGGTGATGTTTTATTTGCTCTTCCCCTTAAGTAGCCTCATGCTTTGTCTGTTGAGCGTCTCCTGTATGCCATACACTAAGCTAGAAACTTACAAACATCCTGTTTAGCCCCCACAGCAGCCTAGTGGGTAAACATCAGCATTCCCAATCTGTACGTGAAGAGTGCTCCAGGAGATTGCAAGGCTCACACAAGCCACGTGGCTGTCAGTGGGAACTGAGTTTGGTCTTGGGTTTGCCTGGCTCCAAAGTCTATACATAGCCTTCTTCGCTCTCCACCATCCAATTCCATCCTACTGCAATTGTGGGTTGTTCTTTCTTTCTTTTTTTTTTTTTTTTTTTTTTTTTTTTTTGAGACCGAGTCTCAGTATATACCCCAAGCTGGAACTCCGGAACTTATGATCCTCAGTCTACCAAGTACTGGGATGATAGACCTGTGCCACTCCGCCAAGCCTTCATTTTCTTTCTTTACACATCTGTTTGCTTTTATCTGACTGCTCTGGAGTCTGAATCTGGGCAAACCACCACACTTGTCGGATTCACTTAACCTCCCTGATTCTCAGACTTCTGGTTTGTCAAGTGGGAATAAGAACAGTCTTCCTACAGAGAGCTATCGGGAGGATTGAGAGAGACAGGATAAATTGCTGCCCCAAAGCTGCCTGTTTCAATGACAGATTCTTTCTAATGTGCTTTTTCCCTCTTTCATCATCTCCCACAGGGAAGAGGGTCTCTTTCCACCCTGCGCCTCCTTACTCTGCCATCTACAAAAAACCTGAAGCCCAGGCACAAACAAGGCTCCTTTCCCCTGGCCTCAAAGCTTGGAGGCGCTCGCTCCTCCTGCCTGCGCACCTCCAGCCTCTCTGGTGACCTACTTCCCGACCCGAGACAGGCAAGCTAAAGAAGCGCTTGCTAATTACAGCCCCGTGATGAAGAAAGAGGCAGCTGCTAGCTCGTTATGCTCAGGCCTCAGGAACCCAGCAGCTTCGGGGACCCTTCAGCATAACTTCCTTTATGAATATCACAAAAATCGATTCCTTAGTCCTTTGACTGGCTTGCCCAGGAGAGAGGCTTCTGCCATCAGTGCGGATGAAGATGAAGACGACACAGGTCAAAGCCAGGCCACAGATCCTTTCTGAGGAATGAGCACTGGTGGGGGATGTACCACATTATACAGGTGGGCAGTGGGAAGAGGCCTGGAAGCCTGCCTAAATTTCAGCACAGTTCTGTCAGCACGGGAAAGTAGCCTAATTGCTTTCAGCCTCTACCTCTTCATTTGTTGAAGAGGGTGACTATCACCTGCCTCATGGGGAGGTATGGAAGGCACAAGACACATGGCATGATTATCATGTCCTCAGTATCCTTTGGCTTCCCACTGGAACACATAACAATTCGCCTCTCCTTACGTTCCCCACCCACTTTAGTCTTAGCCCTTCCACTGTCTCCCAACTTTTGGGGGGGACCCTCTTTTTCTTCAGCATTTGGGTTCAGCCAACACAGCAGATTTTATTGAGCACTGATATTTTGCCAAGTCCTCTGCTAAGTACCAGGGACCTGAGGAGATCAAATCTAGTTCTGGAGTCTCGCTGGTAAGAGTTCCGATCATGCATATCTACAAAGTTCTTAATAATGGATAAATTGAGTACTAGAACAGCCTTCCGAGGCCTCGTCACCTCTACCTTATGGGTAGGAAATTGAGAGGGAGGAAAGGGAGAAGCCAGGGAGCTATCTCATGCCTCCTGGGTTCACCCTCCCTTGGAACAGTAACAGAACAAGCTGTTACATTCTGAGTCCAACCAGAGGTCAAAAAGGGACGCAGGAGAGGGAAGAAACTGTAAAGAAAACAAGGGACAGCTTCCAAAGGTAGTGGGAATGCAAGCCCTTCATGTTGGAACTGAACAAAATGCATCTCACTTTTCATTCTGCGGGACTCGGCGCTTTCCGTGCCCCTCTGCCATCACGCCTGTCACCATGTGGTAGAAATCCATCCGACTGGGAGGTCTCTGAGAAGGGACTGGGCCACCCACTGGAGCACCAGCCCGAGTGGAGGAGATGCTTGGTGAATATTGGTTGAATGAAAGAGGTAGGAAAGGTGTGGGCAGTGGTGGCGCACACCTTTAATCCCAGCACTTGGGAGGCAGAGGCAGGTAGATCTTTGTGAGTTCAAGGCCAGCCTGGTCTACAGAATTCCAAGACAGCCAGAACTACACGAGGAAACCCTGTCTCAAATAATAATAATAATAATGATGATGATGATGATGATGATGATGATGTATGTAAGAGTGTTGAGGACGTGATGGAAGACATGTAACCAGCAGAGGTCATATCTTGGCTCAGCAAACACGCAATTGCACAGGAAGACCCTTACACCTGACAAGCTCCTAGTCTAGTGTAGGAGATGGACATAATGATACCATAGTGCTAAGTGTTGGGACAGTGGGAAGCCAGGGGATGCTAAGAACACAGAAGAAATACCTATCTAGGTCTGAGGGCCAAGCTGGACTTCTTGGAGACAGTGATGCTGATGTAGACATCTGCTGGGGACAAAGACAGAGGACCGCGAGTGTATGTATGCACAGCAGGAGAAACACTTGTGAACAGGGGAAGGGGGGTGTGAAAACATCTTCTCTGTTAGTAAAAGGACCATGACAGATTGTATCAGATCATGGTGGGATATGGAGAAACCTCACATGGTGAGACACGGAGAATAAGAGACCAAACATGGAGACTTGATATGTCATGTCAAAGAATATCTTTACTGTCATTTCAAAAGTACCCAGAGTCTGAGATTCTAATTTAAATCTCCACCTCATGGGTCTAGTTGGCTCAGAACAACCTCCAATGCTCCTTCAATTACTGCCAGGCTCCTGGACGACCCTTTATTAGTAGGCCTAGGTGGTAACCTTTCCTTCTGGTTCATTAATCAAGTGTTTCAGGCGCTGAGAATCTGGTGTGGCAGAGGAGATGACAACCAATTAAGCAGACCAGTCACTGCTGCTCCTTTCCTCTCTAGTTTGCTCTGGAACAACGGGATTTCTGCTGCCTCTGAGGGAGTCCAGTTCTCAGCAGAATCTGAATGTTCCCCATCTCCAAAATGATAGGTTTGTCTAGCTTGCCAAAAAGTCAGCCGTTAGAGATCCAAGACGGAGCCCACACCGGCTTCTGAACTTGACCTCAGATTCTGTGTGGAGATTCCCAGCCAGTTAAACTCACTTCTTAGCAGAACTCTGCTCCTGAATATTTATTTCTCCACTACCTTCATGCTCAGATCCCTTCTCCACCCTGACCATACCTCTGCGTCTCCATCGTTTATTAACCTTCAACTCGTACCCTCTTGCTTCTTGCGGTTTTCCTTCCTGATCTAGGCTCAATCTCTTTCTTGGTAATTTTGTCTGTCATAGGAACAATTTACCCAACACCATGGCTTATTAAGGTAACCCAGGCTAGCCTCAAACTCGCAGTCCTCTTGGCTTAACCTCCTAAGTACTGGGACTGCAAGCATTAGACACCAAAGTTGGGAGCATATTTTGTCATGTGTGTGTGTGTGTGTGTGTGTGTGTGTGGTGTTGAAATGTGGTCTTAGGGCCTCACACAGACAAGTACTGTCTGATGAGCTACATCCCTGGCCTCGTCATTTGTTGAGCATCCCCTACCATTTTATTTCAGCTATGTTCTTGTACGGAACTTTTGTCTTGGATTTGTGCTGCCGGGACTAAAAGAAGGCTGAGTTACTTCACATCCGCCTCATTGGCTTAATACTGAAGACCCTGTATTCTTTGACTTTCCATCACTGTGGTAAGATACCTGACTCAAGCTACTTGTGAAAAAAAGGTTTATGTGGTGCGTGATCCAGGAGACTCAAAGTTTGAAGAGCAGAGCACTGGCTCTGTGGTGATGGCTGATCTTCAGCTGTGTTTGTCTCAGCCAGTAACAGTGGTGAGAGCATCTGTGGAAGTAGGAAGACCGTGCTGGAACCACAAAGTAGAGAGCTGGGACAGGACAGGTTTGATACTTTCATATCAACCCTTTCAAACCAGGCATAGTTGCTGATACCTGTAGCTCCCATTTGAGAGGCAAGAGGATCAGGAGTTCAGAGCCAGCCTTGGCTAGATAGCAAGTGTGTGACCACTTGGGCTATCTAAAAAAGAAAGGTGCCCATAAGAGAAC